TACAAGTGCCTCAAGGAGTGGGGGACTGGAGAACCCCTTCGGGAAAATCATTAAATTATCCCTCAAGTCCCGACATGTGGGTAACTGAGGGATTGCCTTCGGCAGGGACATGCAAACAACAACTCCTCACCAACTTCAGAGATTACAACGGGACAACATCAAAGGGCAAGCACAAATTACTCATTTTCCCTCAAGTACCTTTCGGCAAAAGGAGTGAGGGACTCCTGATGGAGTATATGGCCCGGGAACCCCCGACCCACAGACTCCTACTACACCAATAAAGGCCCAACCGGCCCAGGAAGCACAACAGGCCCAAATTACGGCGCCCCAAGCACTTAGCAGCCCACAGCGCACACTGGGGAGCCTTCGGCCCCCTGGCCGAAGGCTCAAATCTCTCACAGAACGGGTTTTTCAAGCAAACTAAGAAACTGGGAGAAAACGGCAAAAAACAGTAGCCCTCGGCACCTAGAGCCCTCGGCACTAGTGTGCCCTCGACAACAGAAAGCCTTCGGCACTAGTGTGCCCGAAGGCACCTCACTCGACAGGATCTTCCCTCCACGCGCATCCGGGTCACCGTACCAAGTACAACGTCCCATCCAATAGCCGCATTAAATGCGGCCACATGCGGTTGCCAGCGCCAACCAGTTGAGGTGACCTCTCGGCCAATGGACGCTTGACACGTGTCCCTGTCCGGCATTTATTGCTACTATAAATAGCACCCCATTTCCCCATTTGTAACCACGCTGAAAACGCTCCACACTTTACAATATACTTTCTCTCTCTATACTTACTTGCTCTGACTTCTCTCTTATTATTCCCCGCAATAACCCTTCGGATAAGCTACCCCCGCCCCCCGGGTACACTATCCATCAGAATCGTTTGTTTTTATGTCTCAACTAATTATAGCCTTGAGTTATATGATTGTAATTCACAATGTTATCTTCATTAGTAATTGCCCTAAATAGGACTAAATGAAAACTTAATTGCACAAATATGATTAAAACCTAAATCATTCACAAATAGGACTAAACATTGATTTTCTACCTTTAATACCCTTAATCTAATTAGTTAATTGTCTCTTAGTTCCTTTGGGCAAGAGATTTGCTTCATGTACACACTTTTGTACACGTTAGTACACACTATAAAAGATTTTATTTTTTACCTTCTTTGTTTTACCTTTCTCTTCTCACCCTCTCATCTCCAACTCAACGCCTCTCTCTCTCCGGCGTGTATGTCTCTCGCCTCTTCTCCTTTTCTTTCACCATTTCTTAACTTCTTTCAATCGTTTTCTTTTCTTTGTTCTGCAATCCCTCCATAATTATATTAAAGTTTTAATTATACAGAACTCATCTCGATATTCTTTCTTCCATAGATTCTTATATATTTTCTCAAGAAAATGACTCGATGACATAGGTCAGCACAAAGTCTGCCCTTTCAGCCACCAACACCATCAAAGCTCAACTCCTTTAAAAAATTACGGGATTTTTTTCTTCATACACAGTGCAATCTTTTTTAATCTCAAAGCTTTGAATGTTGAGGTATTGATTTATTTCAGTTTTCTTTTTGCTTTTACGATTATATTTATTTTCCGTTTTCAGATTTTATGTATCTTGTTATGTTGAATTCAATTATTTTATTATGGTGTTGAATGTTTGATTATTTTGTTTCAGTGTTACGGGTAGGTGATAATAATTCTTGAAATTTCAGGCAAATTATTCTATTTCTTAGTTATGCACATGACATGTTTTCTTAAATGTTTGATAGAAGTTTTAGTTAATGTTCTTGAAGTTGCAATTTTAGTTATAGTTGTTTTATTTTGTTGTAGTTATAGACTTATAGTGTAATAAGGCATATTCCAGCAAAAATGTGTATCTTGATCTTACTGTTAGTGTTGGAGCAAAGGTTTACAATGAATTTAAACCCATTAAAAGTGAGTTTTTCTTCTGAATTTTTAAGAATCAATAAGTTATATTAAAAGATTTTTTTACCCTTACTAGGATTTGAGGCATGTTAATTATCGACAACCATATGTTGAGTCAAACGGTGTTATAGAAACTGCTCAGATTCTTTATTAGTGGAACACAAAATATCAACTTGTCACTGTTGCTGCTGCTCCCATACGTAGGTGTGTTGCTGCTGCTCCCCCACTCTATAGTCAAATGCAAAGACAAATACAAAGATGTTGAAGCGTATAACAGAGGAGTGTGGATTTTTTGTTGCTGCTGCTGCCCCAATCTTACAACTAAAGGCAAAGACAAAGTAGATGAAGCAGAATCTGGATTTGTTTAATGGCAATCGACAAGTATCCAATTAGTTTATGTAATTTACACAAGCAGTAGTTTATAAGTATATTAGTATAACAGTACGATGGGTGGATGTAATTTTTGTAGTTTACGTACTCGGTGATGATTTTAACTTACTTGTATAGTAAGGTGTACTTAAAATCTATTATGGCTTGAGTTTCTATTAATATTTCATTAAGCATTGTTTCTGTGTTTGTTTATTTTGTCAGTGCTTGATTGAACCATTGCTTGGCACTTTGGCGTGGTTATGAATCGTTTATGTACCATTTTATATTGTCAATGCTTGATCAAACGTAAAAAATGGTATTACAACATTTTCTACAATTCTATAAAACCCATAAATTTTCTCCAAATCTAATACTACGTAATTAGGTTCAATGCAAATTACTTATAACTAATTAGCATGGATAACAATTTAGTTCTTCAATCAACTTACAACATGTATTAATAGTAGAACTTCAATTTCTTTGACAAAATCCAAAGTCATTTTCTTAATACAAAAGATTTTTAATACAAAAGATACACTTCGAAAACACCAACAACAGTAATTACACTATCATATTCAATACATGAACATTAACTTTACAAAATAACTAATTGCAAGAATGGAGTATTCGGCTATCCTTTGTTTCAAATCTCTCATTCTTGATTATCTCAATCCATTGCATGCAATAATTTGCTTCATCACATGCCTTGATCAAACCTAACAAATATAGAAATGATCAAACATATACGAAGTATATAAAAAGAGGCTCATCATCTTCGTCATGAAGGATCATCATCGTCATCATCTTGTCTTGGATGGATAAAATTAGGTGGGTGAATTCTTCCTATAAACAATACTGTTTACTTGAGATATAATAATACAAGCATTTCCCAACCTTCAAGGACATGATTAAAATAAGAGAATCTAAAATTCACAAATACTAACATTGAATAGACACTACTGCATTACAAACGAATTAGAGAATTTAAAATTTACAAATTACAAATATTTTCTACGCACGGAAAAAATAAATGAAAACACAGATGATATTTTGACCACACATAGACAATATAAACGAACACATAGACAATGTAAACGAATACACGAAAAATATTTAACCACACACAGACAATATAAACGAACACACAGACCATTATTTTCTACACACCGACAATAAATGAACACAAAGACAATGTTTTAATCATGCACAAACAATATAAATAAACACAAGAACACACAAAATGTTTTGAAAAATACTCCACAACATAATTGTTTTACATAAGAAGGAAAATAAATTTATGGACAATAGTTCCAACCTTCTACTTTTCAGTAGTCTCCCTCTTTATCTCAAATCTCATAAAATCACATTAATAGCAAAGTTGAAAGAACAGAAACATCTTAGATGTGAAAACCTTCATTCAAACATTTTAACAAACATGTAATGGGCATATAAAGGGAACACAATAGGACTAAAATTTCAATGGTTTACGCTATAAACCTATATCAATGAAATAAAGTAGTCAAGAGTTCAACATCATAGCATATATAACTTACTAACAATTAAAAAACCAAACTCCATATAAACGTAAAAAGGTGTATATGATTACCCTAACAATCATTGTATTGAGATAAACATGACCCATTGTCACAGTTGAAAGGAAACTTACGGGCGTAGAGAAAAAAGAAGATTACGGGCGTAGGGAAAAAGAAGATTACGGACCCATCATAATTGGAAAGTGTCAATGGAGAATTGGGATGGGAGAGTTCTTGAAAGGGGAATGAGACCGAGGGATTAAGCAGGAAAACGGAAGAGCGTAGAAGAAAGGTAGATGAGAGGGAAGGGGAAAGGGTTAAAAAAAGAGTAACTTTTTCCTCTTTTTATAGTGTGTACAAGTGTGTACACTTTTGTGTGTACAAAGAGCTTTTTTGTTTGGGCAATGGGGGCAGTTCATTTGTGGCGAGTAGTCAGGTGGCGGCTGCTGCAGGCATTATAGGGGGAAAATTCTGTTTTTTTTTTGCCCAGTGAGAGCTTCGGCTGCGGCGGCGGCTGACGGTTGGCAGAGCTCCTATGACCGGAGTCCGGCAATGGCAAGTAGTGGGGGGCAGGTGGTGGCATGCGGTGGGTGGTAGGGACATTTTTGTCGAAATAAAAAAAAATCATATTTTGACAATTTTACCCACCCCAAAGTTGTACCCCAAAGTTGTACCCCATTTTTACCCACCCCTAATTGTGTGGCCATAAATGAGGTATCTCATTTAAGTGGTACCCCACTTAAATGAGTTGACTCATTTATGACCGCACATTAGGAGTGAGGTAAAAATGAGGTACAACTTTGGGTACTTTTAGCATTTTACATTTTAAAACTACAATTCCTATTTGTGATTGTTAACCCTCTTTTAATCCTATGTAGCTAATTAACACTATATTAATCAATAATAATATCATAAAAAAGGTGAATAGTAACTTACAAAATCCTGGACTTCAGCAAGTGAATTATAAACAAGAGCATACACTCAGAAGAATACAGCTCTGACAGTGGAAGATGATAAGGACGATGAGGAATCGGGTTCAAGGTCGTGATATTTGGCGGGTAAATAATACTTCCCGTTTTTGCGAGTTGTATAATCGAGAAAGGGATTCGAAACATGGAAGATCTGCAGCGGACTTTGTTCATCCACAAGGCTCTACAATAGTACCACCTTCCGTGTTAAATCTCAATCGCTTTTACTCTACTGGTCTGCTCCGCTATCTTTCACATTTCTAATCTTCTTCCTATTTGAACTAAATGAAGCATACTCATTATCACCTTTTAACCGAAATGACAGAGTTGCGGCCGCAGTTATCACTTGACCTAATCAAAATTATGGAGCATCGGCTGTCTTCTATTGAAAACAGGACGTCATATCTTCAGCGAGTCATAGACCAGGTTATCATACGTTTTGATTCATTTCTTGGGAGTTAGTCCTGCTATTTTGACCGAGCTGTTTGTAAGCGTGCCTTTTTTTGTTTTACAATTTCTTTTCTTGGATGTGAAATTCTGCAATACCTGGGTTGATTAAAGACAGCCGGAATTGTCTCCTCCTGAATATTCGACAGCCAATAAAGAGCTTAGGAAACTCAGGGATGTAATGCAGCTTATAACTGAACTCAGGGCTGTACAGAAGGTACTTCTTTTGCATCGGCCTTTTTATAGTTTGCGTGAACTCATATTTCTAGTTAAGAAGCATGGAAACTCCCCAGAGCTATTCCGGAAACTTCAATTCTTTGTTTTCCTGCCATTAATGTAATTAAAATGAGTTGGAAAACGCGTAGCCATACAATTATGCTCCTTTTTTAATCTTTGATGGGGTTTCTTTTTTGTAAATTATCTTGGCACATAGTTTCCTGATGGATTTTATATGGGACTTATTCGTACCCACATAGTCCATGTTGACTAGTTTTATGTTTGGATATATACATATATGTGTGTGTAAATATATATATATATATATATATATATATATATATATATTATAATACTGTTTCCAACATTTCTTAATTCCCGTTTCACATTTCCGTTCACTTGATGTCAAAGTAAGATAAAGCTAAGCCTTTGATGTCATGACACATGATTCTGCAAAAAAGTTGTTTTGTTTGTCATGCTACTTGATTCTTTGTGTTTGATTTTCGGTTTTGGTTTATTGTGCTCATGATCTCCTCAGATGTAGCAAAACATTCCTTTGGTCATTACCAGAGCGTGACTTTGAGGTTTGGACCCAAGCTCAATAGACCCAGTCCCGCACTGTTCTTAAAATGCTTTACTAGGCTTCTTTTGAAACACATTTTCACTTGCATAGTATTCTGGGAAAGGGTACATTAACTTCTTTTTGTTAACTATGACGGATAAATCGTTAACATAGATCAATATTTTTAATGAAACGGATTTGTTTCCCTTGGAGATGGCACACTGAGCACACAATAGACTAATAAAGGGATGACTAAATGGAGTTGTTACTCGCCTCTCTTCTGAATGAAGTGGTGCACATAACTTCCTCTTTGTATGAGGGTGTCGGTTATATTAATTACTGTCCTTGTGATTTTTTTTGTCTAAATTTGGTATTTCTTTCAATTGAATTTTACCCCTATTGTATTCTCTCAGACTGTTTTATGTCAGTTTTCCTCTTCTAGGAAAAACGGGAACTGGAACTAGTAATTTCTGAGTGTTGCGATGACAAAGAGATGCAGAAAATGGCTTCTGAAGAATTGAGTCAGGCCACTGAAGGTGAGAAAAGGCTGCAACATCTTCTACTGAAATCACTACTACCAAAAGATGATGCCGATGAGAGAAACTGCATTCTAGAAGTGAGAGCAGGTGATTGTGACTGACTAATCTTTTCTTCAATGTTTGTTTCTTCATGTCTTGTTGCTCTCTGGATGTGATTTTATCTCAGTAAGTAGTGACTGAAGAAAACTGTGACAGGAACTGGAGGCGAAGAAGCTTCTTTGTTTGCGATGGACATATTCAAAATGTGGGTTAGTGGGTTACTGCACACAAAAATAATTTTGCTTTAGGTCCCTCTTTATCTTATATTTTATGTTTCTGTTCTTCATGAAAATTCATCAGGTATGAAAGGTATTCAATGGTGAAAGGTTGGAAGTTTGAGATTCTAGGTGTGGCTGAATCTGATCTCAAAGGATACAAGGTACATCAACAACCAAACACTGTTGAGAAGGACTAATAATATGTTTAGCCTGTTTAGGTTAAGACAGGTTGCTTCAATCTTTAATTAATGGCTAATGAAAAAAGAGTTTTCCTTGCATGATTGACATATCAGAAATCTGATGCTAAATATTTCTTCACAGGAAGCCAGTGCAGCTGTATCTGGACCTAGTGTGTATGGAAAACTAAAATTTGAGAGTGGTGTTCATAGAGTTCAGGTACTTCTGACGCCAAATCCATTTATGGAATAAACTTGCCTGTAGACTATATGCATAAGATTGCACCTTTTGCAGAGAGTTCCTACTACAGAGAAATCTGGCCGTGTCCACACTAGTGCTGTGTCTGTTGCAATACTCCCTCAGGCGGATCAGGTCTGGATCTTTTATTTTTCAGTTGGCCTAGTTGATTTTTTTTTGTTTGGTAGCATAGGTAGTGACTTTCATTTCCCAACACTGATGGATCAATTGTCAAATGGTGAGTTATTGGCCATTTTAAAGTTGTAACCAAAACCCTAGGTCTCTCTAGCCCTTTACACTTGGGACTCGTTACTTTCCTATGAAGTGGTGTATTAGTATTTAGAAATTATGAAGAATGGTAAGTTGTAAGTTTCATATCAATGAGAGTTGTATAACTGAAATGGTATCAAAACCTTGTTGTGAAATATTTTTAAAAAATACCATTAAAACCCTAGCAAGCTCTTTTCTACTTGCCTTCTAACCATTGGGTTTGTGTGAAAGGGAAATGAGATCAGTGACCCAGCAGTGTCCAACTGAAACTGCATCCAAAGTTATTAAAAGGGTAACCAGGTGCACATTGGCGTCCCCACAAGGCGAGTGTCCTGGGAAGGCTCCCACCACAAGGGTGTACAGTGGCGAGCCTTCCCTTCTCAAATTTTGACAAGAGGCCGCTCATTAGACTTGAACATGTGACCTCTTGGTCACACGGTAGCACCTTAACCGGTGATTCCTAAGCTATATTCATCCTAATCGGGATTAGTTACTTGTTGTGGATGTGCATTATCTGTTTTGTCTTTGAGTACATCAGGCTATTTTACTGTTGTGTTTATGGCAATTAAAGATGTGGTGTTGTCTGGTCGATGGGAGTTCATGAGGGACAGACTTCAACTATTAAGTACTTATTATCGCTACAATTCTGCAGGTTGATGTTCAGTTGAGAAATGAAGATCTGAAGATCGACACATACAGAGCTGGTGGTGCAGGAGGTCAGCATGTAAACACCACTAACAGTGCTGTTAGAGTGACTCACATTCCTTCAGGGTTAACTGTTGCCATACAGGACGAGCGCTCCCAACATATGGTAAGGGAACGTGATTGTTTTTTTATTTCAACACTCTTGATTAAGTACTCCATCTGTCCTGTAAAGAGTCCTGTTTGTCCAAGTTACAACTTTCTATTTTTCGGATTATGCTACAATTGCTTTTCATGGTTTACCTATTTTATAAAATAAAACTTGTTTGTTACTCTATCGATTTCTGATTCCCAGAATAAAACCAAAGCTCTTAAAGTGCTATGTGCAAAGCTCTTTGAATTGGAAAGATGTAGACTTCAGTCGACAAGATCAAAACTCCGCTCAGAGCAGGTAAACTGACCTTTGACGATGAATGCTGTTGCAAACAACAATTGATTATTTTTTACCTGCTGTGATTTTTTCTTCTTTTAAAAAAATGATGAGCAGATTGGCAGTGGGGACAGATCAGAGCGCATCCGAACATATAACTTTCCCCAAGGAAGGGTTACTGATCACAGAGTTGGGATTACCAGTTATTCGATAGATGATGTGATGCAAGGAGAGGGTTTGGACTGTTTTATTGATGCTCTCCTTTTGCAGCAGGAAATTGATGCTGTTGCATCATTCAGTTCCTCCCTCACATAATACATGTTGTAGCTAAGTACGTTTCCCCCAAGTTATTGCTTTTGGTGAGGTGCAGGAAAACTACATTTAAGTTTTATTCATTAAATTAAGTTATTCTTTTCTTTTATTAAATTAAAGAACTTAAAAGGCATACCCTTTTTACTATTTCTTGTTTGATGGATGATGACAAGCAAAAGTTCTTCATTATTCAAGAAACTGACACATGTAAGATTATAAATGAAAATCATACATTACGCTTAATAGGTTATGACGTTATGTGTCATTCGAGTTTAGCTACACTCAAGTGTTCCTTAATTCAGCTTGGCTGCCATAATATTTGAATATTTTTTCAATTTGGGTATCACATCTTTATCAAGTTATTTGCAAACTCTTTAAATATGTATGGATTTAATAATCTTACTTGATGAGGAAGCGGTCCAGCTTAGCGGGTTGCTGACTCACTCTTCATACGGGAGGTTTCGGGTTCGAAACTCCATGGAGGGAGTTTCAACCCTGTTTATCTCAGGCTCCCCCCAGCCCTTCCCCCTGACCCACCCCCCCACCCCCCCCGGAAAAAGAAATCTCACTTGATATGTTTCAGGCTTGTTTACAGTTATTTAAGAGTGTTTAAACTTTGGCTTTTAGTTTTACAATGATGAAAAATTAAACAGTTGTTGGATGTTTTTTGTTTTTCTTAGTTAAAATTCCCCTCACTAAATTTTGACAACCTTTTATTTGACCGTATCAATTTTTTTACTATTTCCCCTTTAAAGTAATATAATTGTGGTTCATATTATTTTTCTTTCTCTTACCCACACTTCAATCACATAATTTTCATTTTTCGTTTTCCACCGCCTGTCAAATTTTGCAGAGTTTATTCGACTTTTATGAAGATATGAAATGCTAAATTATGGTCTACTCTAGTGAGTATCCAAAAATAATAATGAAATTTTTACAGTGTTAGGTTGTGCAACATTTTTGTGAAAATGTTAAAGAGTTGGATAATTGCTCTGAGCATCTTTTGTGGGAATCAATATTTCATAAATATGAACACATTTGGATTATTCTATTTTAAAAGTATAGATTTATGTAATAGCCATATTATGTACCCTTATAACAATCTCAATAACTTTCTATTTTTTAGCTTTCTTTAATTCGGGTCTATGATCAGCGCAAAGTAATTTTACACTTATCAGGTATAGTTTGAGTAACTGTATTTTTAACTAGGTATTGCTGAACTGTACTCTAACCATAAGCTGCTTTATGAAGGGAGAAATGTTTTAAAAAAAGCTTCTCAGGAGGGGTGTACTCCTAAAAATGGAATAATGTAAAGGTACTCCTAAAGTCCTAATTAAAGAAATCAACCATGCATTACTCTTTTTTTTTTATGGATCTGGGGGCTGTAGTAATCAGGGCTGAAATTCACTCCATTGAGTTTCAAACCCTTTTGTGCCTAGCGGGTTTCGAACTCGAGAACTCCCGCGGTAACCTTGGAACCAGCTGGGCTGAAATGCTTGGTTACAATGCATTACTCATATTTAGAACAATTTTCCTTGTTTAAACTTCATAAAAATCTGTATTATTGGTATCACCGATTTCACCATTCAAAACAATTTTGCTGCAAAATTATCCTTCGGATACTTGTTGGTTGTCAGGATTTTATTATGATGGTAACTAAAATAAATCGAAAATGTTTTTTAATCAGTAAGCAATTAATATTTTCCGTGCACCAATTAATACATACATGAATACATGATGAGTTACTTTTCTCGTTTTTTCTTTTAATTATGAAATATGAATCAATTCATTACTTTTCATTTCCTTAATTCCCAATGGTCATTGATCATCTAGTGAAACTGAGAGCAAAAGGCACGCCGGTGGTGTGCAACCAGGTGTGTCCATCAAGCCATGGTCCAGCAGTGAATTGGCCGGCAGTCTTGCGATCAATCACCTGCCACTTCTTGAAGGCTCTGTTCCTCCTCCTGGTATCTGCCCCTGGTCCGAAGTTACCGTGCTCCTTGTAGATGCATGTGTTCTCAAACTTCTCCCCGTCCCAAAGCTTCCACCCGTCTGGGCTCACGACATCGCCCACTTCACTCTCCATGACCACTGTTGTCGAGAATGCCTTCCATGGCCTTCCGAGATAGGTCTTCAACTGGAATCGAGCTGGGAAGAGTGCAGCCTCCGCAACGATCCTGCAGTTCTGGAGCACCAATCCTCCCTTGGCCTTTGCCAGCTCTTTCCCGTCTGCGGTGATGGTGTTGAACTGGTTCGCGAGTGGCTTCCTTGCGATGATGACACTGTTCTGGATGAGGGCAGTGCCCTTACCAAAGATGAAGTCGATGGTGCCTGAGATGACGCAGTTACGGTAAAACTGGCGGTAGGTGTGGTAGTACAGTGTGTCTTGGTAACCTTCTATGGAGCAGTCGAAGAGGGCAGACATATCAGACTGGCTCCTGTAAGCCACTGCTTGATGTCCTTCTGCGCCTGCGGTGTTGCGGATGGTGATCCCACGCGCCACGAACCCGCTCCCGAGGGCAGTAAAAGTAGCAGTCTTCGAGGTGGTGATCTTGTCGAATGCGAAATTCTTCTTCCCGGTGATGATGGTCTTTCCCGCACCATCTCCGTACATGAAGACATTGTTCATCTTCTTGTCGACCAACACTGTTTCATCGTACACTCCAGCTTTGACATATATGATGTACTTGCCTTGATGTTTGGGTGGGTATGCGCTTAGAGCAGCCGAAACAGTCTTATACTTTCCGCTTCCGTCCTTGGCCACCACAGCGTGAGGTGTCACCTGTCCTGCCTTTTGTGCCGCCAAAAGCTTCCTGTATGCTGAAGGGAACCATGCAGGATAATCACCGTGTTCCTCTCCTTCCAGAAGGCGGCGGGAGGCAGCGGAGGTGGTGAGTAAGTTGGTCGTGGCACCTGTGATGTTGAACGCCTCCATCACCTTAGACATCTCAGCAATGATGTTGATAGCGTTATTAGTGAGTTGGGTGGCGTTGACCATCCCTTCCTCGATGGCAGATTTGTATTCGGGCTTCTCCAGTTGCTCCGTGCAGGTTGTCTGGTAGGCGTAAACCGCAGACAACCAGTTGAGCAGCTCATCAACGCGGTCATTGAGGGTGTGGAGCTCGCTATCACCGACTGCTGAGAAGGATGCCTGGAGATCTGCAATGGCATCCTGGAGCATGTCTTTGCAGTCCTCCACGGCCACATGGTCGTAAGGGTCCGCGGCCTGGTCGACCTTTGTGTTCAGGGCGACCTGGTGGGACTTGGAGGCCTCGTCGATGGTGGCCTTGAGGATTGCGAGGATGAAGTCCTTCGTGGTGGCCGATTGGTTGTTGGCAACAGGGGAGAGGCTCTTGGCGCATGCGTCTTTGAATTCGGCGTACTGGCAGAATGTGGTGACAGACTTCATAGAGCCTGTGGAAATGCTGCCATGGTCTTCTTGGGATGATCCGTCACCGCTCTTGCGGAACACGAACACTGCCCCGCACACAATGCCCACCACTAAGACGAGGGACACTAAGGGAAGCACTATTTTATTCGCAGCTGCCATCTTTCTCCTTAAGCTACGTTATTTTCTTCTTTTATTGTTACAGTACAGCATCGAAGAAGGGAGAAGAAAGATGGCGGTGTGGATATGAGATGTGATGATCATGGGGGATTTTATACATGAAAACAGCAAATGATCAGAGGCTCTGCTTGGTAAACGGAGCAACGTGAAACAATGTAGGGTGTGTGGCTGGGTGTGCCTCCATTTGCATGGATGCCCGACTTTTTAGATCCTAGCAAATGTTGAACATATTTTTGGTCTTAAAAGAAATTGCACTGCACCAAAGTTCAACAATATTAGTATGATGGGTTTTTATGATCTCTTTCCTTTCACAAATTTATACTACGTACTCCCTCCGTCCCATACAATTCTTTCCACTTTCCTTTTTGAGTCGTCCCAAAATTTTTCACACTTATCATTTTTGAACAATTTGTGTGGTTAACATTCATTCCACCTAGGGATGGACTCGGGCCGGGTGGCCCAACCCGGAACCGGCCCGGGACCGGTACTGTTCCGGCTCGACCCGACCCGGTGGCCTGGCCAGTGACCGGTCCGGGTAGGCCCGGCCCGTGGGTTTTCCGGTCCGGGCTCGGGTCACCCAAAACAAGGCCTGACCCGGCCGGGCCCGGTTCGGGCCAAAACCTATTTTTTTCAATTTTTTTTAAATTTTCGGGTTGGGCTGGGTATTTTGGGCCATTTGGGGTGGTTTGGGGGATTGGGGGTGGGAGGGGGGTTAATTAGGAAGAGGAAAACAAAAAAAAATAATAATGGGCCCGGCCTGGACCCGGACTGAACCCGGTGGTTACCCGAGCCGGTCCCGGGTCCAACATTTCTGAACCGCCGGCCCGCCCGGGCCTAGGCCCGACCCGCCCCCGGCCCGGACCCGAGTCCATCCCTAATTCCACCTCTTTCTTACACGATTACAACCACACATTTTCACTTTATTCCACTTTCTTAATCTCCATGTCAAGTCAAAGTGGGAAAAATTTTCTGAGACGGAGGGAGTAGTAATTAATCAACATTTCTCATTCAGAATTTCCTGTTTTCTTTGGCATTTTCGATTGATAGAAATTCATATTTTGGGAGTTTTTTGTGAAAATGGGTAAGCTTAGCGTTTCGGGTCCAAAATGTCGAATTGAAAATGCCAAGAGCAAAGGCGTGCTTGGCATTTAACGGTTAGCGGTTAGCGGATTATGTAAGCGGGTTTTCAATAGCAGATTGAGTCAGCGAGTTTGACTAGCGGGATAAGTTAGCGGGTTGCCATAAGATGTTTGTTAATTTAGCTGTTTGACCATAAAAGTTAGTAGAAACGTCATATTTCAAAACGTTAACTCAAAACTCTCCTATTAACAACGTTTTGATTTCAGCCGTTCCATCCAAAAACGCTAGGGGCGAACAATTATTTTCCAAGCACCGTTTTCATTTATTGATAATGTTAAAAGTAATCAAACCGTCATTTTTTCGTCGAAACGCCATTTTCCAAACATCCCCTAAGAGTAATAAATTATTAAATGTTAAGTGTTTTAGTGTTTTATAATAAATTATTAAATGTTAATTTTACATGCTTGTTACTAAAAGTAAAAAGCTAATTTATCAAAACACTTTCGTAACTCGCCACCTCAATCCGCTAATCGAATTAGGCCATTGAAAATTGACACCACTATTAATTGTCCGCTAATTGAATTTGCTATTCACTAAAGCTTTTCTTTGTTTAACAAAAACGATAAAAGAAGTCCGTTTTGTGACATTCTAGCATCCACTATTGCGGGGAATAACTTATGCTCCATTTCTGTACATTTCTGGGGACGGGGGTATTATCGTACGGGTAACAATATCATATATTACCTCTCTATCGTTGAAAGGTACTCATGGTAAAATGACACGGTTATTTAGAAAATAATTAAATGAGATATTTTGACTATATTTTGAGAATTAATTTTAATAGATATATAACGTAATGGGGTAAATGTTGATAATTGTGATGTTATAAATGTATTATTTCTTATATTTAATGATTAATTTGTCGTTTAAGATTGTTAATTGTTTCTAAAATGAAAATGTGAATCTTTATATGTGACGTTCAAAGAATGAAAGTGTGTACCTTTCTATAGGACGGAGGGCGTATATGATATATCTTTGAGAGAATTCTCTATATAGGAGTAAAAACGCTTTGAAATTCTAAAATACGAGTATCATATTTTTTATTCCTTGAATAGGACTAAATTTCTGCCAAGTTTGGCGTTACCAAGCTTTAAACATTATATTTTTTCAAACTTGGCAGATTATTCCTAGTCAAGGAACAAAAAACATGATACTCCTAATTTAGAATTTCAAGACGTTTTTACTCATATTTAGGGCAATTTATGAATATCTTTCTCAGTTTTTGTTTGATGAACTCCGAGTATATTTGGTCAAAAAAAAGTCCGAGTATGTCAATCAACTCAATATAAGCTAGTTAGATTAAAAATGTAAACTTGTAATATATTTTATACTGATTTATTTAGAGCCCGTTTGGTGATTATGTTTTTCGGCTTATCAGGCTTATCAAACAATTTTTTAATCAAACATGTAACTTTTAGTTTCACGCGCAGAGTTGCGTAATAATAAGAAAAAATAAAGTTGAAGTTACTTTTCTGACTGTATTGGCTGAAGTTACTGAAGATGACCATTTTAACTATTTTTCATATAATTTTTCTTTATTTAATTAATAAAATATATTTTAAATATAATATTTTCATAAATCAGCATAATGAAAAAATTCTAGATTTTCTTCTGACAGCCTTCCAGATTTACGGTGGCGGCAGTGGCGGCGCCGGCGATGACAGGCGGCGGCCGAAATCTGGCAGGCTGCAAGAAGAAAAACCTGGAGTTTTCCAGCGGTGCTCCGGCGCCGACGGTGGTCTGGCTGTCCTGCGGCAGCAATAGTAAAGGCTGTTAGGGGTATTTTGGTTCAATCACAAATAAAAACTCCTATTTAAGGATGTTTAAACTAGGTGCTTCTATTTGGGAAGAAACATGTTTTACTCTTATTAAGGTAAATCAATGTCATTAGTTAGGACTTAGCTAGGAATGTGTAGGGGTGCAAATGAGTCGGACTGCTCATGAGCCACTCGGTCAAAGCTCGAATCGAGTTCGATGAAACTCGAGCTTGAGCCGGATCGTTAAGCTGTCAAGACATAAACGAGCCTACTAAGTTTAGGCTCCCTAGCTCGTGAGCCTAGTTTTATATGTGTGCATATTTATATTAATATATAGAATATATTAATATACGATATAAATCAATATATAATATATATAAAAGATCACGTGAAAAGTTTCCCTTAAAATGAGAAGTGAGAAGTGATCTCAACCCCTGGATTTGCATCTAATCTTACAACGCAGTAAACTTATAGATTGAATATAGGAACTTATAACCAATAAATCATAACTTATAAAGCTCTCCGTAATAATTACGAAAAATGCCACTGTGTCAAAAAAATTTCAAGATTTTCAGGCTTACTTTTTTTGCGGTGGCATTTTCGTAATTATTTTTTAGGGGTCTATAAGTTATGATTTATTAGTTAAAAGTTCATATATTTAGTCTATAAGTTTAACTTCACAGTTTTCAACGTAAGAGCACTTTTCACCTGATCAGCTATATATATATATATATATATATATATATATATATATATATATATATATATATATATATATATATATATATATAGAGAGAGAGAGAGAGAGAGAGAGAGAGAGAGAGTGTGTGTGTGTATATTTATAGAGAGAGAGTAATCTTCCGGTCAGACCTTTCTCACTAGAACCGCCGTCCGGACGGCGGTGTTTGGGGCCCTTCCTGATGGAGTTTTTTTATGAAATGTTTACGCCATGTTATCCATCAAGTCTAATTCATTGACAAAATATTTCAGCTAAAATTTCAATCGGGAAGGTACTCAAATATTTTTGGAAGATAATTGCGCCAAAATATAAATATAAACGCAGTTATCTTTCAAAAATTATTTGATTGTCTTCCCGATTGATTTTTTAGCTGAAATGTTATGTGGATGAACTAGACTTGATGAAAAACATTCCCAAAAACTTTCATCAAAAAATTACACTGGGAACCCCCCCAAACGGCGGCGGTCGAATGCCGGTTCTCGTCCGGAATTCCGCACCTGAACTTCTCTCTCTCTCTCTCTCTCTCTCTCTCTCTCTCTCTCTCTCTATATATATATATATATATATATATATATATATATATATATATATATATATATATATATATAGACACACACATACCGATTGGTAAATGTATATGAGGACCGGGGAAGTATTATTAAGGGAAATTTCCCGATATATGACTAAAACTCAACGAGTTTCTCAATCTATGACCTAACTAGTTTTTAGACTTTTATATGACTGAAAATCCAAAAACAAATAGAAATCTCGTTTCTATTAAATGCTTAAATGACGAAAATGCCCTTGTTTAAAATATGTGCATTTTGCACTAATTTTGTCTGATTAAAATTAGTGCACTTTGTATTGCCGTTAATGCACAACATTAATGCACGACTTTACTGCACATCCGACAACAATCACTACACTTCTGCCAAAACTAATTCTCTTCTCATTCACCTGAAGAATTTATTTTTAGTTTTTGTTTTTTGTTTTTTAGATTTATAATTTTATTATTTTATATCTAATTAAGTATATTGCATTTTATGAAGATATTATTGCTTTGTATTACTGCAATACTGGTCATAATCACCGCACAATAATTTTTTTAATGTAATCATTCACTGTCATGTACAAAATGTCTAATATCATATATATTTACTGCTCATACTCAACACTTGAACTCTCAATGTTCAATGCCCATATTTAAATGCCCACAAACTCTAATTTAAGAAACTTCTAATTTTAAAAATTGAAAAGCAAAAAGGAGAATTGATGGCCAAAACAACAAAAGAATCCTGAGCAGTGGCCTCCGCATTAACCAAATTGCTACAAACCTATTACGGAGTATGTAAAAGGCGGCCCATCGTTATGTAACAATCACAACCCTTCATGTAATTAACCTGCGCCGCACTTCCTCCTCCCTGCTACGTTTCACATATTCTCCAACGGGGGATCTAGAAGATGGCGGGCGGCTGGGTGGCGGCGGGCACTAGCGTCAGTCCTGGACGGCGGCGGACAGTGGGTCGTAGGGCGACGCCTTGGCACCTAGGTCAGGCGGACAACTTCCCAGCAAGCCACGTTGCTTCGGGGGTCGGCAACTATGTTCTAGACCGGAGTTCTATCGAAGGCGGCAGCGCTGGACAATGGGCGGCGGCGCTGGATGGTGGCTAGACGGCGGGCGGCAGTTGGAAGGCGGGGCGGCTGCGTGGGTGGGCGTTGGGAGGTAATAGCTAGGGATGTAGAAAAAGAATAGGAGGTCAGAGTTTTATAGATATAAGCTAAAGGGTATATTTGTTCATAAAAATTAATTATTATTTATTAATTACGAATTTTGATTAATTATTATGATTTTTAATAATATTTTGATAAAAAAAAAACTAGTTAGGCCATAGATTGGGAAACTCATTG